TTTACATATTTTTCGCGTAATTATGATAATTATTCGATGTTCCGGGATGTTCCGGAATGCTCCATGTTCCAGGTTTTATCGACGCCCGAAAAAACTACAGCCTGTTTGCACTCTTGCTAGTTGCTAGCTACATGCAAAAGACGAATGAATTTGAATTTTCTAGCCTTGCCGAAGAAATTTGATTTTGTTTGATTTTTGTGGGAATTTGCTCTTAAATAACATTGAACGGTATGAGTCGTTTGAAGATGAGAACAAGGTTTAATTTTTTTGGATGTAGCTTTTGAATGAAAATTATTATCTGCACGACGCTCGACTTATCTCAACTAGTTCTGTTTATGATTGAAGTCTGGTTTATATATATAGGCATTTTTTTCCTTTTTCAAGTTAAATTTCACTGCTTCATTTATGACATGCTTTTTATAAAGGACCTAAAGCCAACTTTGAACAAGCAGTCTCACACCATCGGCACAAAGTTATGTTTGTAGCGCAGATTATAATATATCTTATATTAATTATATCATTTGAAGTTTTTTACATAGTCCTATTGTCTTATCTAGCCTTTTGTATGTTAGATTAGCACTTATATTTTATCCCTTTTAAAATTATTGTATCTTGATTTTACTCAATGACATATATGCAAAAATTTTAACCAATTTTTGACTTGTCGCTAGTTTTTATCCTATAAAAGGTTAAGTATGGCCTTTTAAAGTTCTCGTCCTAAGTGCATCATCCTGTAGACCCTTCTGTCACTTTCTTATCCGCTGAGCGTTAACGGGCAGGTTGTAGTAGGGGCGTGACTCATCATGCCTGTCCAAGTCACAATATGGTACATTCCTCGTCATCATCACCTCCAGTCGGTCAATCAACTCCGAGAAACTGGGACGAGAGGATGGATCTTCATTCCAGCACTCAGACATCAGTTCATATCTATAAGAAGATGACAAAACGTTAAGTAGCTGCATTGCGGAACAAAACTGATCAATCTACAATATTTGTCAAACCCAACTTGAAATACATTGCAACGCTAAATCAGCTTCTCGACATTGTATAGGAGCATGGAGGGGCAAGATGCGCAAAAAAAGAGGAAATTTTTCAATAATCGTGATCCAAAATAATGTGAAAAAGAAATTAACGAGACATATTGCATCCTGGATCGCGCCCAGCAATATATCATCAGTAAATCTTATGATAAGCTATGTCATTGATTAGCTCTGCATCCTCTATTAACCTCTCTAGACCTCACTTCCGATCCATGCGTTAATAGGAAACATGTACCGTGCGTGTTTCCATCGAGTCATATAGAAACACGAGTGGAAGAACACATATCAGGCCTTTCCATGCGATAACCAGTCTTCAAAAGTCCACACAGCTCTCGATTGGTTAACGTGGGATAAGGGACACCTCCTGAAATGTATCCAAAAAAAAAAAGTTAAGAAACCGAGAAAGCATAAAGCACACATTATTGTCTCATAAGAAAGTAATGGCTAATTTCGGAAATAACAGCCTGCGAACAGGCTCCCGGTGAGGACGGAAAAAAACTTCGTTCGGGCTCACCAGGAGCCTGTTCGCAGGTTAGGAAATAAAGGAGAAAGAATTTAGGATCAATAAGAAAGATAATAATTTTTGTTTAACTTACCCATGGTGGCCATTTCCCAAAGAATTATGCCAAAGGACCAGCTACGTGAAGATATAAAAAGCTGTTTCAGTGTAATTACATGTACTCAACACAACTAAGATTTTAAGGCTTTCTTTTTTTAGTCTTTGTAGTATAATGACAAGCTGCCCCACAAAGCAACTTCTACGCGTTTTTCGTGCTCTCCAAACTTCCCGCGTATCACAACTCGATGATACATGCTAAATTCTCGAAAGGGCACTTCTCCATGTCTGCGTCTGAGGGTTAAGGAAAAGGCTTTTCCGTCACACAGAAAGACTGACTTACACATCACTCTTGATGGTGTAAATGCTGTCATTAATTGATTCTGGGGTCATCCATTTCACAGGAAGCTTCTTCGTATTCTTTCCACTGTACACGTCTTCGTAGATCTGTCTCATCAACCCAAAGTCTTTGACTTTGGGTTGATGAGACAGACTCGGTTTGACTTTGACTCGGTTATCACTGCCAACCAGAATATTACGAGCTGCAAGGTCACGATGAATGAAGCCTTTCTCTGCAAGATGATTCTAAAAAACCATGAAAGAATTAAGAAAGCAAATTATATAAATAAAGATTATGATACTTTTTTCTTTTCGCTAAGACCAATAAACGAGGCACGCAAGACCCATCCCGGTCACTTAGATGATTTGTTTAGAAAATTTTTTTTTGTGGAGGTCGAGAGTCACTACTACAAAGTATCTTTACATTTTATCTCATTTCGAAACAGCTATACTAATACCTACCATTCCCTTTGCTATTTGCCGAGCAAACGAAAACAGCTTTTGAGTAGTTAAGCTGTCTGCTTCTTCTTCGTCATCGTCATCATCATTATTTTCAGATGATTTCAATATGGTGAGAGCGTTGCTGTTTCCCTGTGATGTCGATGGCATCGGCAGCAGTTCCATTCCTTCCTGATCCGGGAAACCGTCTTCTTTGATGTCGTCATCATCAATACTTTCACTTGATATCAATATGGCGGCAGCATTGCTGTTTTCCTTTGATGTCGGTGCCATCGGCATCAGTTCGATGTTTTCCTGATATAGAAAGTCGTCTTCGTCGTCGTCAACATCATCAATATTTTCAGTCGATACCAATATGGCGCCAGCGTTGCTGTTTTCCTGTGATGTCGATGGTATCGGCATCAGTTCGAAGTTTTCCTGAGCCAGTACATCATCGCTGTTTTCCTAAATAAAGAAGGCAAGAAAAAAAGAACATAACCTAAGAAGTAATGATAGTAAATTAAGCGTGTGTAAATTATTTCGTCATAAATACTTTGAGTAGGGAGGGCAGGATAGAAATTGTGGTACTTGTTTCAAACATAATGTAGCGTAAGAAAAAAAACTAAACTCGGTGAGTTTTTCTTATATTGATTGGAAAACATCTGTAGTAACATGTCGAGGTTGCGCAGCTGTACAACTGTTTTTTTTTTTCTCAGTTTTGATTTTGGTTTCAATGTTTGTTTTTTACATTTCTTCCACTACCGCTCCAGCTTTAGCATTTTTAATACTAAATACTACTCTTTAGAATACATATGTAATATTTTCGATTTTTACTGCCAGTTTGGCTATGTTGACCTGACTGATCTCATCATATTCAAGTTTGGCACGCGACCACCAATGAAATAAACTTCCGTGGATACTTAACACATCATTTTTAAATGATCTGTAAAAGTTTCATTACCATACACATGTACGTTTGTAGATACCAATCTAAATAATATACGCATTGACCAATGAATTTATCTTGTAAGTCTTTCTTATAATCTTCGCAAATGTAGTTTTAAGAGCTAAAACTGCCATGGAAATAAACAATGAAAAGGCAAACACTTTCGCTTTTCAGTTACTTACTTCAGCAGGATTCTCAGAGAATAGGGTTACATCAAGGATGATATCTCTGTTATCTCGTGACGAAGTCGATTCCATCATCAGCAAAGTTTGCTCTTGCAGTGGTTGATCTTGATCGATCCCATCCTGAGTATCATCTTCTTTTTCCTGAATGGCAAAAAAAAAAATATTGACCCACCATGTAATACGGGTATCTTAATACCCTTATTTTTTGCAAAATCTCTCTCTTCTTAAAAAAAATAGGAGGAGTGATACCCGAAAGGTGGGAGACATTTTAAAACCTTACATCTCGTCGATAGGTCAGAGCTGAAAAGTTACATCGGAATAGACTTCCTGCCTGCCTGCCTGCCTGCCTGCCTGCCTGCAACCCATCACCAATTCTCCCAATAACCCCCTGCTCACCGATCAATTCACACTGGCAGTCAGCTATGTGACATATCAATTGAAAGGTTATTTTCTTTTAAGCCTTAAATATTTGATTACAGATACACTAGATACACTATACAACATTCCCCATCCCCCAAGTTACATACCGGTGAAAGTCAAAGGCCACATCACACCATAGTTAACTCCGATCACTCCATTCACGTTCTTGAGGTCCTAAACATATCTGATTAGAATAGGGTTTAATGTAAGGCACCTACTTGGTCACATTCGCTCAATTCTTTTTGAGCATTGAATATTTCCTTCTCTTCATAATATTTCTTCTCCTCGTAACCATCAGTGCCTTGGTTTCGATTGATCTAGAGTACAATGAACACGATGAGGTCACTGAAATACCTAGCACGATTGCTCTAAACGTGGAAGTAATTAAGTTTCAAGATGAGGGCTGAACATTATCGACTGGAAATGTTGTTATATTTAGAACCCAAAACAGCCTACTTGGGAGACATCTAACCATTGAAAATCCCATAGCTGCAGGTTAAACTGTGCGCTATGATAGATTTGCAACAGCCCCATATAATTAGCACGAACTGTCTCGTGAAGGACTACACCACTGCCATACCGTTAAATCCATTACTACCAAACACTTGAGGCAACAGAAAATTGATTAAATATTCCTATGGGAAACGTCTTACCGATGGCCTCCTGCGTCGTAACCACTGCAACAGATCACCAAACGGAACGTACTCTATCACCGGGAACTTGTGCTCCTGCAAAGTGCAACAACCAACCAGGGATACAATATTATGGTGTGAGCCCAACAGCTTCATCTGCTCTATCTCCCCCAAGAACTCTTCTTTTTGTTCTTTGCTCGGATCATCTGAACACAAATGATGTAGTTAAATTCCTGTTTGCTACGAATATAATCAATCGGCCTTGCTTCAGTCACGGTCTGAGTACATTAGTTCCTACAGGAAATTCAATTGCGTGTCATGCACAGGACTACCTGCTGTCCAATTTAGTTATAATGGGACATGAAGAGAAGAAAAAAAAAAACACAGGCGACAGATGATTAGTTTTAATTGTTGTATCGTTCGTAATGTCACCTTAAGCTTTAGACTGGGGAGATACAGTTTGCGATATAATTGCAAAAGACCAAGCACGATCGATTTGAAAAGGGTTAAGTATTTACATGTCACCGAGAATTTAAATCTCTTTCAGGTGTATTTTAAAGAGACTGAACCTACCCAAGTTGTGTAATGATTTACCCTTTTATACATGATTTTGTATGATGACTGCAATCACCTTGCAGTTCTTTGACTGCGACCACCTGGCATGGCTCCTCGGGCTTCAGTGTTTCTTCAGTGTCAAATACTTCTATTCCAACTCGTCTCTTTAGGGTTGCTTTGTAAACCACACCAAACGCTCCTCGACCCAACTCCTCCTCGTATTTTATTTTCTCGGGAACAAGTTCCCACTTGTCCGGCAGGATAATTTCGCGAGCTAAACGAGCTGATCTGTGGAACGATGGGAAAATAGTTTGAGCACAAAAAAAGTTGTTATCAAGTAGTATGTTGTTATCAAGTAGTATGCTAGTAGTAGTATGGCGTATGGTAATGGCGGCAGTCCGTCGATGGCGGCCTTCAAGTTAATCTCCTGGTCCTGTTTGGTAGCTACGCTCGCCTGGTTTTCCTACAGGGAGCTGCAAGTTGACACGCTTAGGGCAAGATTTCCGTATAACCCCATATATTTATTATGCATACAGTTCTTTGTTTAACTAAACAATAGCGAAAACAATAGCGCTCCTTTGAGACTTATCTGATTTGAATAACTCTAAATTTTACCATTTTTTTCTAAGTGTCGCATACTTTT